CCATCGATATCTCTCCTTCATATGATATTTTTCTTTTGGTCGCCATGTTTGTAGGTTTGGAGGTGCTTGAAAAATGAAAGAGGCGATGGCTAGTCTTTATAAGGATCATGAGGATATGGAAAAATGAAAGAGGCAATGCCTAGTCTTTATAAGAACTTGCCATGTTTATATTCATGTTAAGTAGCATTTTATGAATGTTTTAAATAAATTACAAGAGTACGACACCTTTATTTTAATTAAAATTGAGATTTTAGTAATAAAGTACATTTACAAATTAAAATTCTCTGTTAGATGTACAATCATATATATATATATATATATATATATATATATATATATATATATATATATATATATATATATATATATATATATATATATATATATATATATATATAAAAGAGTGAATTTTAAACATGAATTTAGCGATATATGTGACATGAAAATAGCTCTGTTCAATTATAACTGATAATCTTGTTGGTTTTACTTTCTTTTCATAAAATTCAAGATTGATTTTACACCTCTTTAAAAAGCCCGAAGAAGACTTAACTTGATTAGGCCCAAACCATTAATGAGCCGCTAATAAAATAAGTAGGTTGTTATATTGAAAATGATATGCTATAATTATTGAATTACTTAAAAATATATATTTTATATTAAAAAAATGTTAAATAAACAGTCAGGTTTTCCGTAGAGAAATCGGTTTTCAAACACAGGTTTTAGCAAATAAATTTCACTACCGAATCTGTTTCATATCTCAAACCGGTTCAAATCTTAATCTAATTTTTGCCCACCTCTCGACCGAACTAATTAGATAGAAGATAGATTTTTCAACTATTTATATTTATAACTTTTTAATAACAACTGTAAAAATCTTGTAAAGAAAGTTATAAAAGTTTATAAAAAAAATTATTGTAAAAAATGTTTAAAAAACTAGTAAAAGTTATAAAAAAAAGGTTTATTTGTCATATGTGCACAAAAAAGGAAAATGATTAAATCCTCCTTAATAAATGAATGTATTTTTTTGCCACATGTGCTCTTCTTTTTCATTTGGACACATGATATTTTCTAGAATTTTTAAATTTTCTATTTTCCACTTGTCATTTTATTGTAATTTTCATTTTATTAAATTAAAATTCAACATTTAATATGTAAGGAAATATATATGTAAGGTATTTATTAGAAAAGATTTATATATGTAATGTATCAATGTATTAAAGTCTCACTAATTTTAATAATTTTGTAACGCCCCGATTCTCAAGTATGGATTTAAATAAAGAATTTCCTTAGTTTTAAATCCTACTCCACGAGTTAAGGTTGCCCTACTCGTCAAGTAGCAGTGAGGTGGGATCGCGAATTTAGTGACCTACTCGCCGAGTCCACAATAGGACTCGACGAGTAGGAGCTGGCAGATGAAACCCTAAAATTCGGGGCATTTCACCCTATTTAAAGGATCATTGGCCATCCCCTGGCCTCCCCTTCACTGCCTCTTGTCCCTCTAAAGCCCTAATCGTGTGTGAGCTCATCTTATGCATTCTTAAGCTTGAAGGAGGATTTTCTTGGAGAGAAAAGAGCTTGGAGGTCAAGCATTAAGAAGCAAGGAGCTTGAAGGACCTAAGATCTATTGTAGTTAGCATCTTCTGGAAGATATAAATCGTTACCCTAACCTCATTCATTCCTTTGGGCAACTTCTAGGGTTTTCATAGTATGTTTGGAAGCTACTTTTCATTTCAATCTCAGATCTGAAGTTGTAACTTCAGAACTGAGCTCCTTTAGGCTTCTTAGTACATAAAGTTTCAAGCTTGTGCAAGAATGAGACTCTCCCAAGGTGTAAAACTCCATTGGAAGCTTAGAGTGGTCATTTAGAGCCTTTAGAACCTTGCATGTGCGTAAAGTTTACAACTTTACGTGATAAACATGCCTTAGAAGCTCGGATTTGTAATCTAGAGCTTTGTCATGGCTTAAAAAGCGTCTGCATGGTTAGAGGTCTGCGAGGACTCGACGAGTTGGATGAACAACTCGGTGAGCCCGATGAATTTGGCCGCGAACTCGACAAGTTGATGAACAACTCGACGAGTCCGTTGAAGTTTGCCTTGAACTCGACGAGTCATTAGAAAACTTGGCGAGTCGACTAAGGTTCCCCCGGTTCTTGGAGACGTATGAGCTCGACGAGTTAAATGAGAACTCGACGAGCCAGTCAAGGGTTTCACGACTGCTCGAGTCCAGGAAGGACTCGACGAGTCGGTGAACTGCACTCGACGATTCGAGTCAACATGGGCTGTTGACTTTAACTGTGGGTATTGACTTTGACCAGGAGTTGACCAGATGACTTCCGAGGGTATTCTGATAAATTGGAAACTTATGAAGAAAAGGTTTTATGGTATTTATAGGTAGTGAAGTTCGTGTTGGTGATCCGGAATTTGAAGCTTATTGGTTTCTGACGTCAGTTGCGAGGTGAGTTATCCACACTATACTAAGGGTCTATGGCACTAAGGTCGACCCAATTAATGTGTTACCTTGAACTGTGATAGATATTGAGTATGATTTAGTGTCGCATGCTAGTGGTTATGCTTGTTAGGTAGGTCTGTAGGACTATCTGTGGTGTTATGTGATTATTGCATGCTCGATTCTTATGATTTATGTGTTGGTTATATGGTATGGGTTGAGGTTGTACTGCTTTGTGCGGTAGCCAACAAACCCTAGGATCATTCCAGTTACGGGCTAATGGAGACTCGTACTGTGGGCTCGAGAGCATTTTAGTTACGGGCTAAGGGAGATTCGTACTGTGGGCTCGTGGGTATTACAGTCTGTAGGGCTGTGGACCCGTTATGTACTGTTCTGTTCAGTTGTGATGATATGTTATCGTGACATGGTTATGTGGACTGTATGTTTATCGGTATTTTGGGGGTAACTCACTAAGCTTTCGGGCTTACAGTTTCAGTTTATTGTTTCAGGTACATCAGGGGATCGATGCAAGACCAAGGCGTGATCGTACAACTCCTCCTATTGTGTTTATTTTTATGGGAAAAACTCTGATAATCAATATTTTGAAAACAAAGTTGTAATGTTTTGATGTACTTGACAAGTCTTAAAAAGTTTAAATTGGTTTGGAATTTTGGATGTTACAAATTAAAATTTTTTCTCATTTTTCTTATAAATTCAAACTTCTCAAATTGTTAAAATTTCACATATATATATATATATATATATATATATATATATATATATATATATATATATATATATATATATATATATATATATATATAGGGGTGAGCAAAAACCGAACCGACTAAAGAAAAACCGACAAAACCGCAATAAACCGCAACCGAAAAACCGAAACCGATTCAAAAACCAATGGTGCGGATTTAATTTTTGCAAAAACCGAAGGTCAACGGTGCGGTGCGGTTTCTATCCTAAAAACCGGTCCATCAAAACCGAACCGCACCGCAAGCGTGTATAGTAATAAATAAATCAATGTATATTATATACATTCTATTTAAAATAGTTATAAACGATAATATATTTATTATATGTTTATTTTGTGTTTGTATAAAACTATATGGGGTGCAAAAGAAATGTTCTATTGTTAGTCAAACGTACTAATCGATTACATGTAATAAGCTTGTAACAAATTGTTGAATCAATGAAGGCATACGTTTGTTTAAGGATTATTTGAACAATGTTGAAAGGATACAAAATTTATATGTTGAAGAATTCATACCTAAAGAAGAAATTACACTCGGGATCCAAAAGTAGATGGTAGTGAAATTGAGGAGGACATCACCCAAAAATGTTTGGAATAAATAAACTCTGGTGGGAAGCTGCCAACTACTTTGCAAACTAAAAATAAAGTATTTTCAATTTATGTGTTTATGTTATTGTATTTTTTTTCTTTACCGTTTTATTTTTTATTTAAAATCAATTATAACAAAAGTATAACTTTGATCATAATTAACTTAGATTTAAAAAAAACGGATATGCAAATATCCCGTTAAAAAATATGTTTGTACCGTTATTCGAATTCGCACATAATAGATCCGGTTTTCCCTATTCTAAACCCGAATAATTAAAGAACAATTTTTTCAGTATAAAAAAAAAAAAAAAAAAAGAACAAACAAAATTTTTAATTTCCAGGTTTGATATGATATTTGTGCGCATTTGATGTAGACGTTCACAAAAAAACTCTCTCGGGTCGGACACGAAAAAAAAAAAAAAAAAAACAAGATTGAACCGGTCTAAAATGAGATTGGACCGAAAAAAGACTAATTCTGAAAAAAACCAACACCAAACCGACCCAAAACCGTCCGGGACTGTTTCGAGACCGATCCAACAAAGTTTATAAATATATCATTTTTATTTTTATGTTAATTACAAAAATTTTAATCACACATTATCTAACTACTTTCATTTATTTTTATTTTATTAAACTTAAATGTATCATTTTTAATAAATCTTAATATATTATTTTGGTGTTATTGTTAATCACATATGTGGAAAACTTTAAAAACGAAACAAAAAAAAAAAAAGCACGGAAAAACTGTGAGACCGAACAAGAAAGATCAAGTTCAGCGGAAGAAAAACCGATCCGTAACTTGCCTTTTACGACACCTTCACAGGGAAAAAAAACGGACCGTTTTAAAGACAAACCTGAGAGCCCGATATAAAAATCTCTAATTTGATGGATGCACATTTTAGGTTTTTAGCCATGGCAGTGTCGGCCCAAAAGGCCCAAAACCTCGTCCAAAGGACCGTTTAAAAAATTGAAGTTGACCTTGGCCGGCAATAATCACTTTAAAGTGCACCCGCAGCGCACGTTAGAACGGAGGAGGCTTATTTGAAATTCTCCCGTCCGGCACAAACAAACGTGACAACCTTATGTAACAACCCGGTCCCACCACAAACATTTCAAAATTCAAAAGCACCCAAAAACGAGGGAGAAATATGTAACATTTTTTATTTATCAAGGACCTGGTTTGAAAAAATATATAACTAAATCTTCTTAAGCAAAAATCAAATCTAGAGAGAGAGAGAGAGATGAGAACAATGCTGTAGATGTAGAGAGGGAGATTATATGTACAGAGAGAGAAAGCGCATGGTTGATGACGATGGACCGAGAAAAGGAAAGAGAGACGGAGCTAGAAAGTGCGATGTATACCAACTGTTTGTTGTTAGGGCTTGATCCGTCGATCATCGGAGTCGGAGCAAATAACGGTACTCCTCGGGTGGGGTTATTTCGACACTCCAACCCTAAATTGGGTGAACAGCTACTATACTTCATATTGTCCTCTCTCAGAGGTCCAAAAGTACGCTAACAAACGTTTCTCGTTTGGTTTCTAATTACATTTCATCTACAATTACGATCTATAGCTTTTGGTTGATCTGACATTGAGATCGATCTTTCAGGATTTTGATAGAGTGTGGCCGATTTTTGATTCTACTCAATCTCGCGATTTTCGGAAGGTAATTTTATTTTCAATTTTACGATTCAAGCAATTTAATAGTAGGTTTGATGTTACATTTTGGGGGGGTTTTGTTTGTTATTAGGTCGTACAAAGCATCATAAGTGAGCTTGAATCACAAGGGGCGCTTCCGAGAAGTAATTCGAGGGTTTCATCGCTGGCTACATGTTGCGGACCTAGGTCGGTTGGCTACAAAATTTCCCTTCTGTCTCTCTATGGATGTAATTATAATTTCACTACGATTTAATTGTGTTCAATACATAAGACATGATATTAACCCTTTGATTATGTGCTATTCTCCACAAAGCTTATTGAAGAAATTGAGGGGCAGGGTTAGATTAGACAGATTATGCTATATATGTTGTGACTTGTGAGCACTTGTGGCAAAAATGTGATGTTGGATTAAGCTATTGGCATTAGTCCCTTAACCCAAAAGGTTTGAATGAATACCATATCCAGCAATATCTTGGTTGTTGTAATTGTGTGCCTAGCCTTCCTTTCTGTAATTAGTACAGAGATATTTGGAGTGGACAAAATAAAGAGCAGAGAATTGTAATCGTATGTTCTGTGGGGGTGGAAATAAATGATAATATTGCACTAGAAATAACTGTTAGCTAACTGTTATACATCGTTACAAGCAGTGCCTCTCTCTTTATAAGGTATATCTGATATTATCTTCACTCGAAGTAGTTGCATGGAAGGCACTCTAATATTCTCTTAATCAAACCTTATAAGGTCATATTGTGTGGGTGCTAATTCAAAATTGTTAATGTCACTTCATCTGCATGGAAAAACAAAAATAGTAATCTGATATGATTAATGATAATTGCAGATTCGTGGAACTGTTATGGCAGCTTTCTTTGCATGCTTTGAGAGAAGTTCACAGACGTACATATGCAGCCGATGTAGTCTCAAATCCACTACCCGCTTCACTAACCGATGTAGCTTTCTCACATGCAGCCACTCTTCTTCCCGTAACAAAGGTACATTATACTTACATTTTCGATCTTATTATATATAAAGTTTATCTGAAAGCACCTAAATTTACCTACTTGGCTCATGAACAGGCTAGAATAGCTCTTGAGAGAAGAAGGTTTCTGAAAAATGCTGAGACAGCAGTTCAGAGACAGGCAATGTGGTCAAACTTGGCTCATGAAATGACAGCAGAGTATCGTGGTCTTTGTGCTGAAGAGGTAAATGCGACTGTTTAAATAATCTTTAAAGATCATGTACAGTTTGTGTAATAGATCATAGATGCATCATAATCATACTTTCTTTGGATCTTTTGAAGCTCAGGCATATTTGCAGCAAGAGTTGGAGAAGTTACATGACCTGAGAAACAAAGTGAAGATGGAAGGTGAACCTTGGGATGAACTTGTATCTAGCTCAAGTCAAAACTCTCACCTTGTTCAAAGAGCTACCCGCTTGTGGGATTCTTTATTATCATGTAAAAGTAAGTTCAAACTTCAAACATCTCATACTTTTTATGTGTTTCACTTTTATTTAATCTTTAAATTGACTTGTATTTCAGGTCAACACGAAGTTCTTGCCTCAGGCCCCATTGAGGATCTGATAGCACATAGGGAGCATCGGTAGTTCACCCTGAAATCTTTTCTTATGTGCTTTTTTTTTTGTTGGATTTGTTTATATATATATTTTTGAGTAAATTACACGAATGGTCCCTATGGTTTAGGGTAATTTGCGCGTTTGATCCCTAACTTATTTTTTTAACTCGGAAGGTCCTTACTGTTTGTTTTTGTTACGCGATTGGTCCCTATCTTACCTAAAAAGACTATTATGCCCTTGATTTTTTTAATTTATTTAAATAAACACACCCTAATCCCACCACTCACCTTACCTCACCTACCCCATCATTTTTTCCCTTTTAAATAATAGTCTTTTTTAGATAAGACAGGGACCAAACGCGTAACAAAAATAAACATTAGGAACCAAACGCGTAACAAAAACAAGCCATAGGGGCCTTCCGAGTTAAAAAAATAAGTTAGGGACCAAACACGCAAATTACCCCAAACCATAGGGACCATTCGTGTAATTTACTCTATATTTTTTTATGTTTGCTTGTCAGATATCGTATCTCTGGATCATCTCTTCTTGCAGCCATGGATGAAAGTACCCAAGTTTCTTCTGGTGATTTAGATAAGGAACAAGCTGATAGATCACAAGTAAATAGAGAAAATTTGAAGGAAAATATAAGTTCTTCTCAACCTGGGGATGATCGAAGTGGAAGAGGTCAGCCCACAGTTGATATAGCAGAAGTTTTAAGGCGATGGACTCATGCCTTACAGCGTATACATAAACAGTCACTTCACCTGGTATTATTATTTTTTTTATATCATATGTACCTACCTACCTTTCTTATTTTTGTAATAATAATTGTTTTTATGGGTAAAAATAAAGTACACTGCTTATATGCAATTTGAATAAAATTTGAGTTGATTATAGGCAAAGGCGAATGGTGGTGAAGGTCCGGATCTTCTTCGAAGTGCAAGTGATGGTGGTACAAGTGGCCATGCTGAATCTTTAGCTACAACACTTGCTGAACATCGACAGCATTTAGCTAGCATACAGGCATGTTAATGTTAACAATACTCACTGCTTTTCCTCATAATCAAGAGCCATATAGTATTTACAGTTTTGCCCTTTGTTATCTTACACAGGTGCTTGTTAATCAACTGAAAGGTGTTGCCCCCACAATACAAAATTCAATATCAGAGCTTAGTGAGGAAGTCAACACTATCTCAGCCAACCTTCCTCAAATGACAAATCACCATGGTAGATCCACCTCACCTGTTCAACCACAAAGCACCGGAAGGAAAACGGTATCTTTTTTTTTTTCTTTGTTGTATATTTTACGCATTTTTTTTTAAATTACCAAGTTATCTAAACATACATTTGATGTCCAGGAAAGTAGCAGTGATGATGTGACGGAGATTTCTTCAAGATTATCAACGGTTCAGATTGATAATAAAGTTTCGTCTGCTTTAAAACTACCACCTCTATTTAGTTTGACACCAAACTCAACTGCAAAAACTGGGAATTTTTATAAAAGACAGGCTCAACTTCATACCAACGTATCTGAAAACCTGCCTCTCGAACAAACTGCATCAAATAGCCAAGTAAATACACCACAAACAGGTTATATATGGTTCTTTTCCTCTTTTACTTGTTTATTGGTATGGGTATGGCATAATCAGATAAGGAATGGAATGGAAAGGAAAAAAAGTTGTTTCTTTTGCTTGATGAAATGGAATAGAGAATCCCTGAAGGATTCTGATTCATTCCATTTTGTTAGTGTTCATTCCTTAGGGGGTACTTTTTTCTCATTCCATCAATGAATTAGATAATAAATTGTAGTATCACTCATTTTAATTTATCAGATATTTAATGACAAAAATATTTTTAAGATTTTCATGGTAATTAAATTATAATTTTATTTTCTAAAAACTACTACAACTTTTTTTTTTTTTTTTGGGTTAAATGTTTATCACAAAAACGGCTAAAATAGAACATAACTACCACCTTTTCCACATATAACACAAAATGACCACCCATTTCACAATATGAATTTTGCTAAATTATGAAACACAAAAATCATTTAAATCTTTTTTGTGAAATTAATTTTTTTCACAAAAAGAAATATATATACTTTTTACTTATTTATTTATTTTGTGGTGGGGACCATTCATAAATCAATTTTGCAATTTGCAAAATCCATATTGCGAAATGGGTGGTTATTTTGAGTTATTATGAGCCTCCTATTTTGGTCATTGTTTTTTATTTGGGTTTTAATGAGCCTATATGTTAAATTTTTATTTTGTAGATAATAAGTTGTGGGTTTTAACTATGCAAAATTGATTTCAGTAGCTTACTTTGTGATTGAATTCCATCCAACGAAAGTGTTAACTCCAAATCTTTGATGTGTGCAACTGCAGACAACGAGAACGATTATGTTCGTAACATGAAGAAATCCGTGAGAGAAGCAGCTTTAGCAACGCGATCAAGCAACACAGCCCAATCACAACAGGATACTCACTCTGTCTCTGATGATGGCTCTGAACACTTCTTTGTTCCCCTTTCAGGAACCGGGTTTTCTCGTGTGGGCCCAGGTCCTGAAAAGAAACAACACGCTTCAACAAGAAGTAAACAGTTGTTTGCATCTCAACCAAACAACACTTCCTCATCCTCAGATGGAATAAATAAGTATAACGAATCACACGACACATTCAGTAGCAGTAACTTGGATTTACTTAATGACTTGGATGCAATAAACATAAACGGTTTCATGTCTGCTGCTGCTTCCAATTATGCAGAATCTGAAGGACGATTGTCTTTCTATGATGTCGATGAAACTCACGATCAAGTCTTCTCACCCCCTTTTCTCATGGAGGCAGACTCATTTGAGGATTTACTTGGTATGACTATGAATATTTTCTAAATAAACATTTTTCGTCCTCGTTCTTCTATTTTTGTTTCTTACTTTCAAGTTTTATAACCATTATTGCCCTTGTGTCGTCTAAGTTAAGTTTTGTGTTTTTTTTTAAATGACCATTTGGCCCTTGGATCGAAACTGAAAAAAGAAAAACAGTATACTACAGGGACCAAATTTGTAATTCTCATTTTTTTAATTAAGCTTTCAAACATTTCATATTCATTCTGCAATGTTTTTGAATGAGTACTTCTATTCACTGCAACATAATATTTTAAAGTTATAAACATTAATTGAAAAATTAGAGAATATTACAAATAGGTTTTATTTTAAGTTTTGATCCAAGGTGGTCATTTTTTTTTTATTTTAAAAGTTAACTTAGACGACACATGGACCAAATCTGTTATGAAACTTCAAAAGAAGGACCAAAATGTATAGAGAATTTATTAGTCCCAAAAAAGTTATTTTACCGAAATAATCAAGTGAAAGTATTATTCTTATATTAAGTTTTGTTACACATACACAGCACCACTATCAGAAACTGAAACAGCCTTGATGGAGCATCATTAGTAGCTGCTGGTGTTTTATGTTTTTTTTTTTTTTTTTTAATTTTTGGCTTGCTGCTGGGGGTAAGGCCTGACAAACAACCGTCTTGGTTGGATCTGATCTGGTAACAAGGAATGGCAATGTAGTTATGAATGATGATACGGAAGCTAGTTAGCAGTTGATGTTGGTGGTCAACAGGCTAGATGATTGTATAATTCTTTTGTTGGGTTTGGGTAATGTTTTATTATGTTACAAGTTGTAAAACAAGAGAAATGGTATTCATTCCCATTCTTTGTTTCTTTCTTTATTGTTTCCCTTGCCCATTATGTATGATTTGTATGATTTAGAGAGTGCATGGGAGTGAATTTATGCCTTTTTGTGCTTGGTTTCCACTTCCACTTGTCATTTTTTGTATTTTAATTGGTTGACGCTTGTAAGTCTTTACCTAAAAACTGTACCTAACCATTGATTTTGGAAGTGCTTTACAAAATCTTTGAATTGTGAAGTTTTGAGACAATGTAGAGTGTAATACCTCTTGGAGTTGAAGCCCCAAGTTTGAACTTGGGTATGTAGATTCTAACTAAGGACTATATTAACATACTAACCAACTGATCTGCTGTCCAAAAAAAAATGTAGAGCAATTGTGAACAAAATTTTTTGTTGCATAAGCTGGTGCGTGGGTAAGGAGTGAAACGTAAATAGTTTTACCTTCATCTATGGTAGAGAGGGTGTTTCCAAAAATATGATGGCGTTTGCCATTAGGTAAAAGCAAGATTCTAAATGACGTAAGACGTGACTTTATGGTAATGTCAAACCTCAAGCTTTGGCGAGCTTTAGCAAGTCATATCGTTTGTAAGGCATGGTATAAGACAACAACTTTGTATATAATTAATATTTTTATATGTATTTTCAATTATTATTCATTTTTATACACATATATGAGTTAAGGCGGCGTTTCGGTAAAACTTTGTGGCATGTACAAGTTTTAGAGTCATTGCGCGTCATGGTTGAGTCCTGACAAACTTTTTAGAACCTTAGGTAAAAGTCTTTTGGCATGCAATTGTTAAGCAAGTTCCACATGTACTCCATAAATCTGCATAAGTACATGTTCTTTCAGCTTTTCACTTTTTCTATTTTAATTTTTTTTACCTTAGGCTAAGAGGGGCTCGCCAAGCCTTGCTAGGCTCACCAAACACCGCTCCCTGCTTGCACTAAGGGGGCTCGCTAAGAGCATTCGTCGGCCGGCTAACGAGAGGAGAGAGGCAAGAGAGGGTGGATTAGTGGTTTTTGATTGGTTTTTGGCTATTGTTCTCTCTTTTTTTTATATTTATTAAATTAATACACTATCATTTTCTATTTTTTTTTAAAACATGCTATTTTTTTTATTAAAACATGCTAAGCCTACATGATATAAAAAAAACTAAAAAAACCTGTATTAATGTTTTATGAGTTTTACGGTTCCCTCCAACTTTATATATTGTCTTTTTTTCCCAAAAAAGACCCAATTTATTTATTATTTTTTATTTTAGTCACAGAACCGGTTACCAACACGAATAGTTATCAACTTGTAATTTGACTTGTGACTTATAATCCTTTGTTTTTTTAATCGTGGCTTAACTCATAATCCAACTCATAAGAGTCACGACTCATGACAGTAAAATTTATACACAAAATATTATATACATGTATAAACAAAATATACATCAACTATTTAAGCATATAATATGTTACAAATTCGCTAGTTAGGATTCATACTCACAATATAAAAAAGACATATGTAGCAATTAAATATCAATAGGATTAATATTATAAAAGTTCTAAATTTTTAACGCGTAATTGGAAAAAGCCCTCATATATTTTTTATTATTGTTATGGCCACAACTTTCTCGCAGAATTATCACTCTAGCCCACTTAACGAGTTTCATGGTTAAGTTGGTTAATTTTTTTGCAAAATCAATCCTAAAAAACTCAAATTTAATCCCTGAGGTTTGAAAAAAATTACACCACATGGTTTTTTAACTTTATTTTTCGTTTTTTTTGTACTTTATTTATTTTCGGTTTTTTTTTTATAAATATATGTAAATTTTTTATTTTCTTTATATATATATATATTATTTATTTTCATTTTTTAACTTTATTTTTCAACAATTTTTTTTAAACTTTTGTACCTTTTGTTTTCCATTTTTTAGTATATATAAATATATATATATATATATATATATATATATATATATATATATATATATATATAGAGAGAGAGAGAGAGAGAGAGAGAGAGAGAGAGTATATTAGAGTTTTTTTTTTAGGTTTTTTCATATTTCTTTTTGTATTATATTTTATTTTTCTCATCTTTTTATTTTTTTTTTCTTATTTGTTTTCCAATTATTTTTTTTGTTTTTTTGTATCATTATCTTTTTATTGACATTTTGCAAAAAATATAAAATGTATTAATATATTAGAGTATATTACAATTTTGATAATTTATAGTTTTTGTAATTGTTTTTTATTTTTATTCAAGTAAATAAAGTAGTTATGTTTATATTTGTAATTTCGGTCCAACTTATTTTCTTTTTTTTCTTTAGTGCTATTATATTTATGTTACGAAAAAATAAAAATTAAAAAAATATAGTTTGTTTACTAAGAATTAGTGTTTCAATGTGTTATATAACTTGTAAATTAAATCATATTTCTATATGTAATATCAATAGATTAAATTCAAGATAATATTTTTTAATTTGATAATAGACTAAAAAAACAAAAAAAATAATAGTTGATCTTTATAAAAAAAACTTGTTATAGTAATTTATATTGAATTCAAGTTCGTTTTTTCGTAAAAAGGTGAAAAATAAAATATAATACGAAAAGAAATATGGAAAAACCTTAAAAAAAAACTTTAATATACTATATATATATATATATACACTAAAAAATAGAAAACAAAAGGTAAAAAGGTTTAAAAAATTGTTGAAAAATAAAGTTAAAAAATAAAAATAAATAAAGTATATATATACAAAGAAAATAAACAAATGTACATTTATTTATAAAAAAACCGAAAATAAATAAAGTATACAAAAAACGAAAAATAAAGTTAAAAAACCATGTGATGTAATTTTTTTCAAACCTCACGGATTAAATTTGAACTTTTTAGGATTACTTTTGCAAAAAAGTTAACAAACTTAATCATGAAACTCGTTAAGTGGACGAGAAAGTTATGGGAACATCAATAATAAAAAAAATATTAGAGTTTTTTCTAATTACGCGTTAAAATTTTAAAGCTTTTATAATATTAACCCAATATCAATAACTAAAAAATAAGTAAAAAAGCAAATAATGAAAGACCGAATATCAAATAAATAGAAATTAAGTAAAAAAGGAAATAACAACAGAACTATAGTGTTAGAATCATAAGACTAAAGATTTAAATGTATAACTACTATTTTAGTGAGGACTACATGGAGAATGAAGGTGAGAGTACAAAGCGTATAACCTTCTAATTTTTGGTTGACACAAATGTCATGCTTAAAGAAATAAAAGAACAATAAGAAAGTAAAGAAAAAAACCTATAAAAACACAAATGTACAACTTTTAATCTTTAGAACCACCACTTGGAAGACCTTTCCTCCTTTTTGGCTTCCCAACAAAAAGATATCAAAATCTTTTCTTATACACACAAAAAATATATATATAAACTCAACAAACAAAAAATGGAAATCAAAAGAAAAAAAATAAAAGAGAAGAATGAACAAGATCTCTCTCTCATATCTATTTTTTTAAGATAGTATTGATTTGATTTCTTAAACCCAACAACAAATTATTAACCTTTAGATAACCTGATTACCTGCTGGATCATAATATTACTCAGGAGATATATGACTTTTCCGAGTCACACGTTAACTCGACTCAGCACGAGTAATATAGTGAAATAGAAATTTTAACCTAGTCAGATCTAAATTGATTCACACCGTAAGATGTCTCATGTTAGGTTACAAATGGTTCTGTTCGTACAGTTTAACAACTATGCCAACATGCAAATTGCATTTTTTTCCTCATAAAAGACCGTGTGTGTGTGTGTGTGTGTATATATATATATATATATATGTTTTAGACTTATTTTTTTTTAAAACAAAGTCAACTTTAACATATTCTTTGTTATTTCATTAACAGAGTTGGTTACCAACATGTAACATTATATCTCCCTAACTCACATGCATCCTAAGCATCAATCACCTAAAATAATAACCAGTTATAAAACCTTAGGTCATATTTCTACTTCTTCTTCTTGTACACCATATTGAATCCCTTGAAATGAATTATTCTTCAAGCTAGTAACATAAACTTTGTAACAACCGATTTTCCTGTATAAGTTATTGTGCTTAGAGATGCACAAACCCAAGATCCGATCCGATCCGATCCGATCAACAATCCGATCCGGTCAAATCCAATTTGGACCCTGTCAAAATCCGATCCGAATCTGGTCAACAATCCGAATCCAATTTGAAATCGGTTTGATCCTGTTTTTTTTAGGTTTTACCAGATTATTCGACGGTTTAAGAATCGTTTTTTGTAAAATCCGGTTTGTGATCCAGGGTAAATTCGATTTCGAGTCCGAAAAGTCAAACCGGTTTGAATTTGGTCACCGGTTTAATCCAATCCAGTTTGGTCAAAACTGGTTTTGACCGAAACCGGTTTTCAGATCGGATTGGTTTCATTTTGAGGATCCAATTTTTATGTGCACCACTAATTGTGCTTTTACAATGTTTTTGTTTGGGATTTTCCTCGTCACCACGACGTGGTGGGGATTGGGCCACGACGCGGTGGTCATTTAAAGACCACATCATGGTTAGCCCCTTGCCATGGTGCGGTGGTAGATAAGGTTCAAAACCCTAGATCTTGGGCCTTGGACCCTATTGAAAGAATGTAATGGCCAAGGTTCCTTCCACCCTCAGCCTCCATCACTCCAAAATCAAATCCCTAGCCTCTTTTTCCTTTTCTACATTTATTTGTGGTTAAAGTGTGCCATTTTGGGTGTTTTAAAGGAAGGATATTGTTCATTGGAGCTTGTGTG